GGATGAAGCTCGACTCGTCGAGGGTTGTGGTCGTTGAGAACACGAGGACACATGAGACTGTTGAGAAGCCCGTCAGGGTTGTCTCACCTTCCTCACCTTCCTCCCCCTCCTCCCCCTTGAGACGAAGAGAGTATCACGAAGACCGACTACGGGAAAGACGCTATGTCCGGGACGACTACGACGTGGTGGAGATCATCCCTCACTCCAGTCGGTCCGACAGACGGGAAAGAATCGTCTACCGTGATGACCGTGTCGACAACCGAACCCGGTATGAGGAACGGAGAGAGAGACCCAAGTCTATCATCTACACTGGTGGCAAGGGCAGTCTGTATGTCAGAGATGAAGAGGAGAGGAGACGGCGAGAATATCGACAGCCTGTTGTCATCGTCACTGAACCAGGCCAGCGGTTTACAACTCGGCGGTGAAGTGCTCCGGCGTTTTGAGGGGAGTTTTGAATGTCTGGATATGGGACTATGGATCTAATGGAATGTATCAACAATGACACCAATATGATATCGACCACAGCAAAGATGACATCACATGAGATGTTCATCTCGAACGAGCCTTGAGTGACATACACCACACAACTGGATGGTCCAGCGATGAACCGATACGAAAGGGGAGCACGACTTGCAACAGTCCAGCCGAGCTCAGGCTCGCCAGCACTGCCGTCAGCATGATTGGTTGGACAACGGGGGGTCTGTTGGTCGTCTTGGTTCTGTCATTTTGACCCAAGACTCTGTTGGTCTTTTTGCACTTTCATGATTGTCTCGTTACATCATTGCGGCAAAAATTTATCGACAATTCACCAAAAAAAAAGAGGTTTGCGCAATTGTTTTGGGTTGAGATTACTCTCTACTATTGTGGTAGTCATCTCACTTGAGGCGACGGAAAAACTCTTGTGCCCCCAACAGTGAGGGGGCCGAATTGTGGACAGATGATGGACATGACACGATCGGGATAGCATAGCATTGCATTGCGGCAATTGTGAGGCAATTGTGAGACGTGATGCAAAGTTGCTGTCGAGGCAAGGCTGACTTTTGGGGGGAGGGTACTTTGGGATTGACGGATGGATGGTAGATAGTGCTATTCAGTCAAAATGTGAAGATTGATTTCCCGCCTTTGTGGCGACCAATCCCCGAAAGGTGTTCTCTTGACCAAAACGTATGTGTGACATGCGAGTAGTTGAGTGGGCTTTCTTGACACTGTATGGTGAGACCAATGATGTTTTTTGGCGTGGGGGCCAGAATGCTAAGCTTGTGGGATTTGGGTCTGGGCCTTGGCCTGATGTGGCGCTCGAGGCTGTGCACGAGGCTGAGAATATGATGTTTCAGGCTTTCCAGCCATCGACTCTGTGGCGGACACGCGCCACTAGTTAGCCTCATGGAGAGAGGGAGGGGGGAAGGGTGTCAACGACTAATATCTACCACATTAGGTACAAATACCTAATGAATCCAACTTGGCCCCCCTTCCTACCTAGGTAATAGGTACTAACTGACTAATACATACTAATGCGTAGTATTTCGTGGTGTCGCATGTGTCCTCGACTCGACTCTTTGTGCCCTTGATGAGCTGAGCCTCAACTAGCCCCAGGCCCTGAGCCAGCAACGCAAGAGAAGAGCGTCCAAAGTTCCCCCTCGCCCCACCACCACCACCCACCGTGCCCATCTAGGTGCCTCCCACCTCCACTTCGACCATAGAGGGGGGATTGTTCACCAATGTGTGTACTCATTTGCACCATTTGCGCATGTGTACACTGTAAGTACGCATGTATACTTGGTCTGTCTTTGGTGTGGAGGCCTTACACTAGGACATTCGCCGAGGGTATTCCTTTGCAACCCCAGCAGACACGAGACAGTTTGCGATACGTATTGTCGACCTTCATTGTGAGGCCGGGACGGGGTCCTGAGACACAGACAAAGGCAGGGAACTAATTATATGGGATATATTTCGTAACATTCTGTATTCCATACTCGGAATTCTGCCATGTACCGAGTATATTATTAGGTGCCTCGTCGCCTTTCAACATCGTTGTTCTTTTGCTTGGACTACAGTGCAAGGTTCCCCGAACTCCATCGGGATTGTGCAAATGTGGAACAGTCGCTGCCACAATTGCAAATGCAAGAGCAAATGCAAGCATGGAATAAATAGCCCTGTATTAAGCCCGCTCTGACAATGAATTCTGTGTTTTTGAAAACATCCTCTTTCGTCGTTGTCGGCCATTCGTGGCGGTGCATGCTTTGTAACAAGTACTCGCCCAAGTCCTCGTGTGTCTTGTCTGCCGCAAAACCTCCGCAACCAGCCCCTCTCCCCGATTTTGAGGGTGGATCAACTAGCAAGTAGTATTTTGGGACCACGGTCATGAGAAAACAACACCACGGACGATTCTTGGTTGAATATCCCCCAGCTAGTTCGACCACCTCACCTGCTTTTGCTGTTTCGACATTTCGTTAACTTTTTTTTTTTTTTTGAGTGACCTTTTTCCTCTCAGTCATCTTGTGAGCGGTCGAGAATGCCAGAGCAGGGGCAAGGTCATTTGGTACGTTGGCGAATTTAGAGACCAAGTACAAGTACAGACCTACAAGTACTTGGAGTCAGGCCCTTTCCCTGCTCCATATCTATTCGGGTTGGAATGGAGTGACTTTTATTTTCCTCCTCCCTCTTTTGACGAGTTGAACCATTCAAGGAGCCACCTCAGGTTGGAAAGGGGACATGTGAGCTTCTCAATGTTGCCAAAGGCTTGCCGATGCAGCCCCTTCTGCTAGCTGACGCTTCTCACTCGCTTGCTTCGAACTGCCCCTTTGCTAGTACATGGACCTCTCTCGGGGCACTGGTATTTTTCTCATGGCTGATGTCCCATTCAATCTGCACCCCAGGGCGTCACGTCAAGGCACCGTTTCAGAGTATCATGACTCCGTGCTTACGAAGTGGTCGACATTTGTTGGAAAACTGCTGCCTTCGATGCATGACGTGACTTCTATGTGGCCGGTGACCTTCCAGGCCCCTGACAAATACCTCAGCATGGAGGGGGATTTTCGAACTGTTTGCGTCGCTACTATTTCCACTGCCTCTTGTCGCCCGTTCTGAAGCAGCGAACCGCGTGATCTTCGCTGCAATCCAATAGGGGAAATGCCTCGCCCCCGTAAGCGGTGTTCTACTACGGTGAGATTCTGAGATGCCTAATGCTCGAACGTTAGGACACCTTTGCACACCTAAACCACACAAATCCCTTGAGGACTTTGGCTGTGGAATTATCGCCAAGGATCAAACCTCTGGCATCGCCGTAACCGGTGGGTTTGATCATGGATATTTCGGAGGCGGTCACGCCCTCTCGGCCTTGCGCAGTGCGTCAGCTGAGTTTGAGTTCTTGACAAATCGAGTGCTGCGCCGGAAACTGTTCGAGGTATTCAGCTTGGGAATATCATTGCAAGGGATAGAATGCTAGTCACAGCGAGCGTCAAATGATATCGACTGGTTTCTCTCAAGTCAATGGCGGTGCCGCAGCCTGAACCACAACCTCCGCCCACTTTCTGCTAGTGGCATAGATGGGTATCGTACAGGGATAAGCGAGGCTGTGATCGTATGTATGTGTTCACTACCGGGGAGCGAAAGTACTGGCATCTGCAGCACGGGGAATTGAGATATGGCCTGGCTTGTGCTCGGGAGAGACGAGAGCAAAGCAAAGCCAGCGCAAGGCTTTCCAGCTGTGTCCGTGGCGATCATGATTTGATCGCTAGATGAACAGTGAGAAGGTGATATCCAACAGAAACACCCCGCCAAGCTCATCTTTTGTGGCCCACTGTTGACCACTATGTCGCTGAGGTAGCCTGGGATGTCGCACCTCTTATTCGTTAGTACCCATGGTTGCTCGAAAGGCTGGTGACGACGCTGATCGTACATATCGGCTTGGTCCTGCGCAGGGACTATCCAAGCTGAACCAAGCAACGTGTCGGCCTAGAGCTCCACCAAATATCATCTCTCCTCATTCCTATGCCCTTTCGGTCTGATATACCTCCTTCATCTCTTGGAACCACTATAACGTTCAACGGGAGGATTTTCGCTTTGCCATATCCAACAGGGCCAAGTGTCATATACTATTCCATCCAGTATCCTTGATGTTTAACAGGATGCTCCAGTTGTCGAGACACTGAAACACATTCGGCGATACCGGATCGTAGAGAGCCCTCGGAGTCCATTTGCCAGCGTACCCATGCTGTTCGAGTTTCTTCCGCGACAAATCCAAAGGGTACCTTGTTGAAATCGACTATTGCGCACCAAACCATGAAAGTGAGAATCCCGTGGTCAACGGCGCGCTTCCAGTGCTCATTTTGCCAGTCCGACTCAGCAGCCCCAAGACCATTCCACTTAATTCTCAATGAGCCGGAGAAGATAGATATCCGCGCCATTGACTGTCCGCGGATAATACACTGTCTGGCCCTGCCAGCCGCGCCATGACCAGAACAGAAAGCATTGCCTCCTTCGTTATCTGGGACATTCCCAGTATTCCATACTGAGAGAAGAAAAGCCCTCCGCAGCCGCCCTCAGTGCGCTGCGGCGGATTTCGCTTCCTCCTCCCTGAAACGGGGGTTGCTTCCGAATCTCTTCTTCTGTACCTGGATCTCAACACGTCTAGTCACGGAAACCCCACATGGCGATTGCTTTCCACAGGGGAGCGGCGTCAATACAGCGCTGCAGAAGGCCCCGAGCAAAACGTGACGGTCATTTCGATCTTGAAATCTCCGAAATGAGCCCGAGAATGCTTTGATGGTATCGCTTTGCAAGCCAAAGGTCCTCTTCGTGTACCGTCTCACGTCGTAGGTATAATGCGGAGAGGCTTCCTCCAGTTGATCATAATATGTTGTGTAGAACCAAGACATCTCAAGCCCTTTCTGTTTTTTGCCCAAGTATCAGCACCACACCGAAAGTAGATCCCGTAGTCCGCGAAAATCAATCAGGTTCGATGGAAGCTTCCCTTCTTGAATTGTCCAACCTTGGGATCTCTATATTGTCTTCCCAAGGACTAGATCCAGGGACGGCTGTGCCAGCATAAATGTGCGCCCGCCCACCTCAGCGGTAGTTGGAGTTATCCGAGGCGCTCCTGGATGGGATCGAGGCAACCCAGCCTCGCAATTGGAACCAGCGGTGCCCACAATGGCCAGAACGGCTTGTTTGCAAACAATATCCATGTTGGCGATCGATGCGTTTAGTTCGCCAATGTCGTCTTATATGATGCGTCAGGAATCCAACCCCCGATACCGCAGGCCAAAACGTTTTGCCACGTCAACTGCATCCATTACAGGCCTTGGATACGGGTTGAGCCCTTTATACCAATACCTTGGACTGGTTCTTGCTCGTCGAAAGGCGCAAAATGATGCTTTTGTCGTAGTAAGAACTCACCAGGGCATCGAACATCCGGCAGTAATGACGCTGCCGTAGCTTTCAAAGAATTCAATATTCCTCCAGACGTAAGAGAGGGCACAAGAGCGATCATAGAGAGATCCAACAACCACTTCGAGGATTTCCACATCAATCAGACGGAGCTTAAAGGACGATGTCGCGTCATCCAAGATATCTGGCGGCAGCGTACCCTCACACTGTCCTCCAAGCTCGGAGTGGCACATCTCCAGCCTACCCTCGAACAAGTCAGGCCGTGCTCCTTTGTCGGAAACCAGTCGCCCACCTTTAGATTTCAACTCTTTGGGGAGATGCTCGTCAAGGCACGTCAGCTCCAGCAGCTGTTCAAAGTCGTAACACATCTCATAAACGCGGAACCTCCCATGGTAGCGATCAAAAATATTGGCTCGCGCAGGAAGGCAGCACCGGCTTTGTCCCTTCCGTCGAGCTTGTACATATGCCGCAGGGGGAAAGTCTCGATTCCCCACTCCGACGTTGTCCCTTTCAAGATATGCGGCCACTCGATGCTGGAACAGTTGTCACGGAATGACGTTGTATCGAAATTGAACTCATCATCCGAAGATTCTACGTGCGGATTGCTGGAAGTAGGTGACACAGCTTTGCGTCGCCTGGTGATTTTCCTCGACTGGTGTCGCGCGATTTTGTTCGTCGCTGTGGACAACAAAACAGGCGCGGGAAGCGATATGATGGAGCGGTGTTGTTCCCTGAAGAATAAAATAGTTGGGAACTTTGGGGCGGGAGGCAGAAACATATCCCGAGCTGTATATTGAATAGGAGGTTCGGATATGCAAGCGAAGGCAACCGTATCTTTTGTCACCTCTTCCTCACAACTTCAATCGAAGGTCTCATCTCGGGTCGCAGTCGTTGTGGGAGTTCTGGGTGCTTTGAAAGTCCTTCATGGTGTACGAGAGAAATGGTAAATCGGGCATTTTACAACCTCCACATGACATTTACTGTTGGGTTTGCAGGTGAATGGCTGCTATCCATGATCAGCAGAGTTCGAAGCCTGAGTTCTTTTGATATCGGATTGCAAGCCGTTCGCCATGAACGCCGGTGCTATGCGATGCGGCCTTGAATTTCCTGACTTTCCTCTGACTTGTAGAAACGTACAGACTCCGGCAGCCCCGAGGTTTTTCCCACCCAAGAAGACATGTCAACCAGCATCTCATCTTTCCACGGCCTGGGTTTGCCGCTCACCTCCGTCTGATACTGGCTGCGTATGTGGCACCAGCCAGCACCTAACCGGTCTCAGGTTCCTCTTCCTTAGCCAGACCGTGTTCTTTAAGAAGGGTCATGATTTCGTCACCGGACCAGAGATGGTGGTATATCTTGCCATCTTTGGTCTTTCCCACGGTAGCAAACTCGACTGCACAAGCACAGGTCAGCAGTTCTTCTTTTGTTTAGAAGAGGAAGTGGCACCAAAAACTCACTTTTCTCACTGCTCAATTTCGTCGAGTCCATCGTCTTGCTCAACACCTTCACCGCCATGCCACATGCCTCCTTCAAGTCGCACTCCTCCTTGTAATCTTGCTTCAACAGACTCTGCGCACTGGCATTGTTTGCACCCACACTCGTAGCCTTCCATCCACCATAGTTGCCTGAAGGATTGCTTTGGTAGAGCTGAAACTGCCGTTGAGGATCCCAGCCGGCGTAGATGAATGAAACACCAAAAGGTCGTAGACCGCCATGTTGTGTGTATCCCTGTTTCAAGTCGCACAGGCGACGCACCAGTTGTTCGCATGGGATGTCTTCGTTATAGGTGAGTAGGTACCGCTGAGCGGCTTGTCGAGCGAAGTTGATGAGGATGTTGGCGTCAGCAGTCATTCCTGCTACGGCACAGATCATATTGCTACACGAGAAAAACAAGATCAGCATGCGGCTGCGCCTTCCAGAACTCGGTGTCCTAGGTCAAGAGACATACTCGTTCAAGATATACAGCTTCTCCGCCGAAGTGTCTTGCTCCAGCAGTTTGCTTGTGACTTTCCGCTCTGCGGCCAGGACTATGCCATCTTGTGCTAATATACCCAAAGCTGTGCCGGCATGCGAGATGGCTTCGAGAGCGTATTCGACCTGGTATAATCGGCCTTCGGGGGAGAAGATGGTCGTCTGGGAAATGAGTTAGCAGCTGCATCGATCGAACAACGGGTTGTGTGTCCTCAACGCATGAAAACTTACCCTCGAATCATATCGGCGAGACATTTTGAGTGACTCGTTGCGAGCGAAATCTGGAAAGATAGCAAATGCGAGCTCAAACTGAGTAGATGCAGAGGTCGGTAGAGAGAAATAGTTCAGAGGATTGAAGCAGCGAGCAGGCACGGCTCTCACGCGTCGCCCGCCTTTCAGCCAATCACATCCCTGCAATTTTTCTCCAAAAACTGGCGGCCAGAGATGTGTAAATCTGCTCGGAGCTCACGTGCGACTCGTCCTCCCCGTCACCTTTCGCACTGAATACCGCACTTATCTCGCCTCGTGCTCACCCCTTATCCTGCACTACTTTACTCGTATAGCGCCGACGAGCATCGAAAATCAGCGGCGTCCTAATGAGTCCCTCTGTTACGCCCTTTCGACTTTTAACTACCCCGTATTTTCTACCGGTCAAGGTATCCCCTGCGCAGCCAACTTTGCTGAGTAATTTCCAAGTATCCCCGAATATAACTATTCATGGCGTCTTGGGCAGTACTGTACTCTGTTGATAGGGTCAAAAGCTGTGATTTCTATAGGGATTGACATATTAGAGCCTATAGCACTGCTTGTTTGTACACAGATAGACGTTACAGCCAACTCAGAACGTGTTAACCTACCTAGGGCCCCGGTTGTGCCGTGTAAGCCCTCCAGAACCTAGGTTAACTCAAGATGCCCGTGAAAAAGCCGTTCTGGGTTCATAATTGCAAATATTAAAATAGCTACCAAGGACAGCGAACAAGGCAAAATATAGATGCCAAGAAATTGGTCAGCAAACGTTGGTGGTGCAGGGGAGAGACGAAAACCTCGTTGAAATCGGTTTGGCATAGAAGAAGTTCACTGTTCAACAATGACTACTTTTGCTGTAAAATAGATTTCTTAAATGCCCAATCGGCACCAGTAAGCGCCAAGACCCCTCTTTTCCTTGTATTGGTGAAAAAGGTCGAACCTTTTTGAATTGGCTGACGCATTTATGCCCCAAGTAGTGCTCACACCGCATACAGTCTGATACATCTGAGACAATGATTCTTGACTTGTTGCGTATTCAACCCAGATTCTGGACCGCCTTCCAATTTGCTCCGCCACTGCAACATTCTACATGTCCGGAATTAACACCATTCGGCTCTCCACCCGTCCATCGTGCAGATCTTCCACAAGACGCGGGAATTCGCTCAACGGCGCTGTTTTTATTTGAGGTTTAACCACGCCTTCTGCAATCAGCTTCAACCCTTTCTTGACGTCGCCTGCACTTCCGCCGAAGCTGTACAGAATGTTGAGCTGCTTCTGAAGGCTAGTGGCGTTATCAAGGCTTAGGCGCATTGCCTGGATTCCCACTACAACAATCGTGCCTCCACGTCGTACTGGATCAACGTCAGGATATGCTTGTTGCCTTCACGTGTAATTCCTCTAGGAAGATGGATTGTAACTCACCAATGCTCTGGGACGTGATGAACAACTCTTCATTGCCAACAAAATCCACCACCGTATCAATGAGGATGTTCTTGGAGGCAATCAACTCCGAAAGCGTTGCCATGCTAGTAAAGGTATTCTCGCGTTGTACGCCGAAGATGATTGCTCGTTCCAATACCTCCTGCCTCTTGTCCAGGACGTAAACATTTGCCCCGAGCCAAAGCGACAGCTGAAGGGCATTAAATCCCAGCCCACCAATTCCCAAAATTAAAACAGTCTCGCCTTTCTTCAACTTTGCCCTGTTGACGATTGCATTGAACGGGGTCATCAACGCATCTGTGGAAGAAGTGGCCAGAGTAGCCGCCACCCCTGTAAATCATGGTTGGTAACCTTGTTGGGTTGAAAGTTCGAATTAAATGGGATCGAGTGCCTCTCACCTTGCGGGATAGGAACGGCAGCGTGGGCTTTGATTGCAACGTAAGCCGCAAATGACCCATCGTCCTTTAGCCCATACTGTTGGCCACGAGTACATAGTTGTGCAAGATCACGGGAGCAATCCGCACAGTCCGGGGCCGCACAACCGGGAACAGACAGAACCGCGACCATGTCTCCCTGAGGAAGCCTCACAGTTACAAACAGAACCCTAATCAACGCTCAAGATGCTCACTTACAATTTTCAGATCGGAGGTAACTTTTTCGCCAATCTGGACGATCTCGCCAGCGCCCTCGTGGCCCTGTTCGGGTACATGGATCAGCCGGCTAGGACCTTTATCTTGACTTATACACCAACATCCTTACCAGTGTATAACGATCGGGGAATCCTGGCCGTTTCAGAGTAGAAGCCAGCAGAGTGTAGTCGCTGTGACAAACTAAAAAGAAATGTCAACACCCTCTCCAGAAACCTGCACTCCTCAGAACTCGGTTGAGTCGGGGCAATTTACTTCCTGCAGCGTGGACCTTGATCAAAAACCCATCCTCCGGAGCGGATGGCACAGGTACTTGGGCTTTGACCTTGCGCCAAAAGTAGTCGTTAGCAGGCTTGTTATACTCTAGAAAAACATGGTCAAATACTCCCGCATTCATACAGGCTTGGTTTCTCCTGCCACCTTCTGCCATACAAACATCGTTTTTGGAATTTCAGCCATATTGTAAAGGTCCAGAAATCGCTAAATTTTCAGTGGTAGAAGTAAAGGGGTATGTGTTCAGGCGTATTGAGGGTTTGGATAGAATTCACTGGTAATGGGTTGATTCAAGTTAGCGAGGCGCCTGGTGCTGAATGAGCAATTCCATAGAGTGAATGTGCAATATATGGGGCAAGAATATTCGCCTTCCCAAAGTGTGCAGTTTTGGTAAGCAGCATCATAGTGGGCCGGGCACCTCAGGACCAATCCTCCTCACTCGAGTCAGTATTTCTGCGAAACTGAAGCATCTCCGTGGTATGCTCTCGTTCAAGGATTTTCATGCAACTGGACCAGCGCTAGAAAACCGCCGAGTGGGCCCGTAAAATAAAACTCAACGTATGTTCTATCTCCGAATAAGATGTCATCCGAAACTAAACTACAAGTAGTCACAGTAGCAGAAAAAGGTAAAGGGTATTTTAGCTCCAAAAACTGGGAGTCTATATACCTCGGATCTAATATCTATTTCCTGTCTCCATAGACCTTGACATGAGCCGGGTCGGGCCGGGTATTGAGTCTTGACCCGGCCCAGCTCAACGGGTTTAAGCCGGCCCATGTCATCAGCCTAGTTATGAAGAATTGTGTTGATCGACCATCGTGATTTTCTGAATGCATTGCTGTTTAAAACCACAGTTAGGGTAGCCCCGGAGAATCTTTATGCAATCGATATGTCTGCCCGCACTAAACCCGGATGTGAATCGGAATAAGTCGTGGCCAGAATCGTACTTGTCCTCCTTGAGCGAAATGGGTAAAGGATAGCTAGACTGATACAAGTGAACGAACTTGTTCAGTCCACCGTCGGAGAACTCGTACGGAGGTTATCGAGCAAGGCGAGCTCCCTTTTGACTCTAACTTCCATTTTCTTGCTGTCCTTCAACGTGCCCACATAGCGATGTAAGAACCGGATCGAACACTGTTAGTTATTCACGAGGACGGAGTGAGGGTGTGGAACTCGAAGCACGTCCCGTACACGACGAGCTAGTGGGGAATTCGATAGTGGTGTTGACAGGTGTAGAGACTCCAGGTGGACCACTCTCTCATAGTTGAAGTTCTGATGCTGCCAACTAAATGGGGGTGATCAGACCAAGCGGCTTGAAGAACTTATCTCGCATTGATCTAAGAGTCTATGTTATTGACTGGAACAGTGTTGCTGTTGAAGACGAGAGGCGTAAATCCAGGAAAGGCTACCCCGTTCTGTATCTTTTCCTGTTATGCCTCAAGCGGGATCACTGGGATCTCAGCTTGTCGGACTTCTCTAAAGAAAAGAGTGGTAGAAACGTTTCACCGAGATTCACAGTAGTGAAGGGTGCGAACCCAATGCACCTACCAAGAGGAACCAGCGGACGAACGCCTCGAACGTCGCCTTTTGGAGTTCCCCATTTTCGGCTTCGAGAAGGTCAGGTCGCTCCTCGGGTGCAGTCTCTTCTTCGGCTTCTGGTCCGACAGCCAGATCAAAAGGGGCGTCGTTCACCACCATCTCGACTGCAGCAGCCATCTGATTCTCCCTGGATTGCTTCGTCCCGGCTTACAGTGAGTTGAATATTGTTGTACAAAATGTTGAGTTGTGGACCTGTCTGGTTGATTGTGTCCCGTCCCCCCGGCTATTCAGAGAGACTCTGCCTGTTTATATATACATTGGCCTGTAACCACAAGAACATTCCTGAAACCTCCTATTCCGTCGCCATCCTGTCACAGAACTGCAGGAACAACGAGGTTGAGGCAGTTTGCGCAGTTGGTGAAGCGTCCAGCGTCTCAGGTGGTTTACCACAGTGGCTATCTTGCAACCCAGTCAACAAATATCTTCACTTGCTTCAGAATCCTGTACGCTGCAATTTGTCTCATTTGAGTGTTTTTAAATAAAGCCATGTGAGAAATCGCTCTCAAGGATTTGTGTCGGTCCATTCAATGCATCTGTCTACTGAATTCCTCCAACCTAGGTCCATTATTTATTGGGAGGGAATGCCCTGATGTCAACCTAAGAAGTGGTAGGCACATTTTACATGGGTTTCTCTTCTCTCTTCTTCCAGTTCTTTCATAATAATCATATGGATTATTTAATCTGACCACACTAGTTTCTGAAGCGGTGGCGAGCTAGATTTCGACAAAGCCGCCTTATGAGCTGCAAAGGGTTTGACTGCTGTCTCCTGTTGTAACAAGGCAAAGTGGCTATGCTGTAATGGGCTGTGCTGGGCTGGTAGGGCGGTAGCAGGGAGGAAAAGTTGTCTAGTCACATGTCAAACCAAAATGGGCTGGCAGAAAGGGGGTGCGGATCAGTTTACAGTGCTGGAGTGTGCATTCTTTACGTTTGAGAGTATCACGAATTCCACGGTTTTTGGTGTCGTCTACCTAATTCCTGAGTGTTTTATCAGTTCTGTCCTGTTCGTCGATGCTGCCGCTGTGCTAGGTGTTCGTAGCTCTAGCCGCTGCCCCTCTAGGTGGTGTTGATGGTGGTGGTGTTGTCTTGTCAGTATCAACCAGAAACGCTTTCTCGATTCCCGATCTGCTGGACAGGCCTCTGTGCGTTGTGCACGTGCACGCCGAACCCTGAAGTGCTCTGTTACACTGTAAGGATCACAACGCACCTGCTTCGCACAATGAGTTTACGAGGAAACATTAATGAGCGGTTTGAATGCTGTTCATACGGGAGACAAACATAGAGACTGGCTAATGGTGGTCCTCGTGGAAGTCCTGTCTTGTTTGACACTGGTTGATATATATATGTGATCATATCGTGCACCACGCGGAATCGGCAGATATGATGGCACCACTAATTTCTGAACTCAAGTCAGAAGCGAGGAAGACTATGATATTTGCTATGCTCTCAGGAGTGGCTCGGTTACGCCCTGGAATAACGCTGAGGTCGTGGGCTCCCTTTAACACGGCCAGAGATGCCTGATCCACTTTGGACATGTCAATAGAGTCGGTAATCGCCGTCATAACGCCTGTCCTAAGAATCAGAATAGAATTTGCTATCACTTTTGAAGAATTCTCGAACGACTCTTGCATGAAATGGGATCGAGACAAAAGGTTTCTGTACTCACCTCCAGGGCAAACAGCGTTGCAGCGGATGTGGTCGTTGCGAAATCTGAAAGCAACTTGTTTAGTGGCACCGACCTGTCACAACGGCGATCAATACTGTATACATCCGGAAGATGAGGTTCCGCAAAGCGAAAAGATTGTCAATAGGAATAACATACCAACCCGTGCTTTGCTGCCGTATACGCCACACCAGTAACCGCTCCACTCAGCCCAGCTTTACTGGAAACGTTGACAATGCTGCCGCCACCACTCTCTTTCATGATGGGTACAATCGCCCTCATCAGCTTCACTGGAGCAGTGAGATTGATGGCAATGTTATGATCCCACGCGGTGTCCTCCAGTGTATCGACACTGTTATAGCTGTCCATAATCCCAGCGATGTTCAGTAGCCCATCGATTCGTTTGCCAAATGCCTGAACACATTTCTCGGCAACCTTCGCAGGTGTGTTGGGCTCGGTGAGGTCGCATTGAAAGAAACTGAAGTTCTCAAGCGAGGATAGTGTCTCAGGCTCGGGCGAAATATCACAACCAAAGACTTTTGCCCTACTGTCGAGGAGGATTTTTGCAGTTGATAGACCGATACCTGACGAAGCACCCGTAACAACGAAGATCTAAACGTCTAGATAAGTCAACGCACCAAAGATGCGACGGAAAACGCAACGCTTCGGGCCTTTGGTGGAGTTGTACTACCTTGTTCGCTAACCCTTCCATTGTCCCTTGATCTGTCCTTCGAAATTAGCTAGAGTGAGGGCAATCAACAGATGCGGTCATATCAAAGACGTTGAAGTTTTTATGTGTCCTGGAGCGAAATGGTCATGAAGAACTAATATTAGGATAGAGTTGAGGAACACGGAACATGACCTATCCCTCGCATACTGGGTACGGACAGCATTACGAGGCTTCTTGTAGGGAAAATGACCAATTGCAAAAAGAACTTCTCCTGTGCCGTGTAGTACGATTTACGATGTGCACATGAATTTGAATTATGCTGTTGGAGCTTCCTAGTGTTCGCTATTCTAATGAAGCCGACTCGAGTTCCCCCATTCCGAGTACTTTAGCTTACAACGTGTGTATACTTGACTCTCGAGACTAAGGGTTGAATATTTGACACGACTGTTCGAGTCAGTTTGGGGCCAACACAGCTTACTCGATAAGATGCGTCAGAGCTACATATACTCGTCAGCGATGCTAGTCATCTCAAAGAGCCAACCGGCACCTCAGTGTCTCGGCGCCAAGGTAGCGCTAACTCCGCCCACATTTACCCTTTTCTGAGTTTATACCTGTCTCGAAAGGGTTAATTTGAACACTCAAGTCCATACCGAATCTTCGGGACCCCGAGATACCACCATCCAATATGAGGCGCCGTATCAGAAATGAAGCCTTCCCAAAGGATCTTGAAGACCATCAAGTAAGCATCCTACATCCGCGTATCAACGTCGACAGAAAAAGAAAAAGGAGGGTGAACCTAGGACTGTTTGATCAACATGTTGGAATCCAAATTCTGGTTGCCAGATCGTTCCTATATCCATGGAAAATGGATAGAATCATCTAAGAGAGAAACCTTGACGCTTTACTCTGCCCACGATGACTCTGTTGTTCTCGAAGGTTGGCCCACACGGATCAGATTTCGTTTTCCAAGCGATGGTGATTGATAGCTATACCCAGGTCTTCAATGTGCAAACGCTGCAGACGTGGATGTAGCAGTTGACTCGGCTGAAAAAGCCCTTCCGGTATGGAAGGCTATGAACACGGTAGGAGGACGCTCCCCCCGCCGATGGTGCTGTCAGAAACTAAGCAGGTCAATAGAATCAGAAAAGAGCGGCATTTCTTCGATTTGCCGACCTGGTGGTCGAAAGCGCAGGGAGATGTGGATATCTAGAAGCTATCGTTGTGGGCAAGCCAGCACATTTCGCTGCTCGTGAAGCCTACATGGTAGCAGAGTGGTTCAGATGTGGGAAATTCCTTCCTTTCAATGGTTTCATCCGCATAACCGTCGTTCTAACCATCACGACCTTAGTTTATGCTGGGTTTATCGACAAGTTCGGTGGTGAATGCCACCCCGCCGATGATGAAGGTTATCTGCGAGTAAGATCAAAGTCTATTCACTATGGACTGAAGACGCGCAACTAAGCATAGAGCCTCTAGCTGGTACGTCGAGAGCCTTACGGAATCTGTGCGTCGATCAATCCATTCAATGCTCCACTTTCCACGTTTGCCTTTAAGGTCGCTCCTGCTCTCGCCGCAGGAAACGTGATGATTGCCAAAGTCAGCGAGTATAACCCACTGAGCACATTGATAATGGGTGAATTGGCTACCAAGGCAGGATTCCCTCCAGGGGTCCTGAATATGATAGTAGGTACAGCTGAGGCAGGGATTGCTTTGAGCCATCATATGAGGATCCGGAACATCAGTTTCACCGGAAGTGTGGCGGTCGGAAAGCAAGTGCAGCTGGCGGCAGCGAATTCTAACTTGAAGACAGTAACTCTAGAGCTCGGAGGGAAGTCACCATTCTTGGTTTTTGAAGACGCTGATCTCGAGAAAGCGATTGCGAGCTCGGCCTCAAACATTCTGACGCTGAATGGACAAGGTTGCATTCTCGGCACGAGAGTCTACGTCCATGAATCTTTGGCAGAGGATTTTGTTGCAGGCATGAAAGCTAAGATGGATAAATATTGTGAGACCCTCGGAAACAACCCACTTGACACAACCACAACTTCTATGCCACTGGCACACCAAGCGCAGCTGCAACGAGTCCTTGGTTTCCTTGAGACTGGGAAGAAGGAGGCGAGTTGCGTACGAGGTGGGGCCCGCTTCAGCACCAAGGGTTGTTATGTAGAACCCACGATCTTCTTCAAGCCTCCACCAGATGCAGAGATTGTGCGAAAAGAGATATTTGGCCCGGTGTTGTGCATCCTCACCTTTTCTACCGAAGAGGAGGCCATTGCTGCAGCTAATGATACCGAATTTGGCTTGGGTGCATACATCTTCACCAAAAGCATAGACCGCGCATTGCGTGTCTCTGCTCAGCTGGAGGCAGGAACAGTCTGCATCAACAACACTGCTGTTGTTCATCCAAGTGTCCCATTTGGCGGATACAAAAGTAAGCGTTAACGCCTTGAGAAATTTGGTCTTTATTTTCCCTCTTTCCGTTGCTAACTCGTGTCGACAGGCAGCGGAGTCGGCCGTGAGAATGGCATATCTGCACTCCATCACTTCACACAGGAGAAATCTGTTATCATCAAATATGACTAGTTCAGGAGCACCTAAAACAACCAAGGGAGCCAACTCGCTAGGGCGGATAGAAGCTAACCCGTGTTCGATGGCCACATTTCAGATTGGCGACGATACAACTGAATCCTTGAGTAGCTGCCAACAACTATGCTCTTAAGGTGCTAGTGTCTATCAAATTGAAGTATGGTGAACTGATTAACTATTTTGTATTGTTGTCGAAGGCTT